GAGAGCGTGGCAGCAGAGACGGTGCGATTCAACGGCACCACCGGGGAAGCCAGGTCGAGCCGCGGAGGCGGCGCAGGAGCTGAGGACCCCACGGAGCTAGGCGAGGGGGCGACTGCGCGACGGCGAGCCGAGGGCCAGCGAGCTGCGGCAGCGGCGGCAATAGAAGCCGGGAAACCAACTTGAAACGCGGCGAGGGCGGCGCCGAGGGAGACCGGCAGAGGAGCCGAGGCGGCAAGCGCACGAGAGAGCGTGGCAGCAGAGACGGTGCGATTCGACGGCACCACCGGGCAGGCCAGGTCGAGCTGCGGAGGCGGCGCGGGAGCTGAGGACCCCACGGAGCTAGGCGAGGTGGCGACTGCGCGACGGAGAGCCGAGGGCCGGCAAGCCGCAGCAGCGACAGCAGCGGGGCCCGGGCGACCAACCGCCCGTCAGGCGAATACGAGGACGGCGCCGAGGGCGACCAACAAACGAGAGGGGTCAGAGACCGCCGAGGTGGCAGTGGCATTGATGACGAAGGGCACCGCAGCAACGCAGGGGTCGGCTACAGCAGAGACGGTGGCAGCGGGACCCGAGGGCCCCGTGGCAAAGCAGGCGGCGATCACACTGGCATCAAGAGCGGGGGCAGGAACGGCGCCGGGAGCCGACTGGTCCGCGCCAAGCGTGAGTGAAGCAACCGGCGGTAGACCAAGACCTGGCCGCGGCCAGGGGGACCTGGAGGGTTGTAGGACCCTGAGGGAGCCGCTGCTCGAATCGATGGACCCAAGGAGGACGACCCAGCTGGAGGTGAAAGGCGCAGCCCAACCCCCAAGGGAGAAGCAGGGGAAGGGAGCCGAGCTGGAGCTGAGGCGGCGCTGTGCGGAGGCGAGCGAGGGAGACCCCTGGTTGGTAAACAACAAGGACTCCCTGAAGAAACAAGGGACCTGCTGGGAGCGCAAGGGGAGGCTCTACGTTCCAGAAGCTTGCCGGGTGGATGTGCTCCGGAGAGGGCACACCGAGGACACTACGGGACATTGTGGGTTTGTTAGGACTTTCCACCTCCTGCGTGAACAGTTCTGGTGGATACGAGGGAGTACGTGGCCAGCTGCTCGACGTGCGCAGCGGCGAAGGAAGGGAAGGAACCTTCGGGGACCCGTCCTATAAGTGACTCGGCCATGGTAAGGCCAAAGCCCCAAGCCAAGGAAAGGCACACCGTTATGGCAGATTGGGGGGGCAGCACCCTCGTCGCTCAACTTAGTG